AAGGTGCTCTTGTGAGGGGATATTCACAGGACTTTTTCGACTGAGCCTTGGACGTTATTTCTGTCCTTCTCATCCCGGTCCAGCCGTACTTGCGATAGTGTCAGTACGTCCTCAGTACGCCCTTTAGGGCGTACTCACACTAGCTCGATCTTAATTGTGGGTGATCACATCTGTGACCGTACGTGAATGCATCTGACCGCAATTCCGTCCATAATTAAGTAAAAAGCTCCTTGTCACCTTGTGTGCGTATGCCCACAGGCGGGCTTTTCCGATCTTTTTATCTCTTTTTCGGTTTTTCTGCCGTCGGACTTTTTTTTTTTTTTTTTTTTTTTTTTATTTGGACCGTTTCTCGATTTATGCGTGTCATCCTTGCGCAGAGGGCCATGCTAATCTTCTCTGTATTGTTCCAATTTTAACGGATGTCCCGAAGGACTTTTTCTTTTTTTTAAGCGCATACCCAAAAAAAAAAAAAAAAAAACCTACCACAGGCACGCGCTCTTTTTTGTCAACGAACCGAACGTTCGTTTTTGGGAAAAGTCAAAAACTTTCCGGCCATTTTTACACAGCTGCAGCCAGGGTGCAATTGGATCTTTCCAGTATTTCCTGGAAGATGCGATCGTTCATTTTCCGTTTTGTGTGCCGTGAGGGTAGGCTGTTAAACAGGACGGATAGCGTGATGTTCGCGTGTCCTCATATGGAGGGGCTCTACCCGGACTCGTGGCGGAAGGGAGAGAGAGAGAGAGAGAGAAGGTTTAAGAAGATCGACTGCTGAACTTCGGAAAGTCACAGGCGGCCGAGAAAGGGAGAGTAAGGGACTAGCTGGAGAGAGAGAGAGAGAGAGAGAGAGAGAGAGAGAGAGAATGCACGAAGAAATGAGACCTCGCAACCGCGCATGAGCAAGGGATCGTGTGATCAAGCGAGTGATAGGGAGAGTGCGCGACCCTCCGCAGGGGGAAAAAAGAGAGAGAGAGAGAGAGAGAGAGAGAGAGAGAGCGGGAAGAAGGAGACGAAGACAAAGGGAAGACATACTGCGAGTGTGCGATAAAGAAGACGGACTACAGGGTAACAAAACGGCTTCAGCGGGCGAGGAGGACCGAAAAGACGCACAGGCGTTGAGCGGTTGCCTGCGAAGCAACGACATGGCTCAAGAAAGCAGTACAGACGTGTGCAGAGCACGAGAGAGAGAGAACGACGGTGTGCAGGCCGCGACAAGCGGCACTCCCACGCTCGAGAGAGAAGAAGACGACAGCACAAAGGAGGGTGCAATTGAGTGCGACGACTGCTGTCCTTGTTGGTCACAACAAATGTTCTTCTGGCGATCGCATCCGTATCACCGAGCAACTGAATCGCCGGACAAGATCACAGCCTCGAAGCCTCGACGTCGCGACCTTCAAGACAGTTCCAGAACTTCCAGTCCCGATCGCGACATGAATTCGCCTCGCTGTGGAAATTGTGGAAGGATGCGTGCGATGACGAAGCCCGTGGTTCCATGGGTGTGTCAGAACTGCCACGCAGTGCACGATCGCCCGGGAAAGTCCGCAAAGTCGAGCAGCAAAAGGGAGAGAGATCGGAATCACAGCTGTGTCGTCAGTTAAGAAGAACGGTGGAGCCAACTACTTCTATAAAACCTCGATGCCTCAACAATTTTTTATTTTTTATTTTTATTTTTATTTTTTTTCCCCTTTTTGTCCTTGGTGTTCAACGGGTAAGCAAGTCAGTGCTTCGTTCCCTGAACTTCCTGCTTTGTTCCCTGTGTCGTGAGCCAATAAGAGGACGGGAGCGGTAACTCTTCTAGAAACTTCGATTTTTTTTTTTTTTTTTTTTTTTTTTTTTTTTTTTTTTTTTTTTTTTTTTTTTTTTTTTTTTTTTTCATTTTTTTTTTTTTTCCAAAATTTTGATTTTTTTTTTTTCCCCCCCTCCCTTCTTTTTTTTTTTTTTTTTTTTTTTTTTTTGCAAACTCGACGAAGTTCAATGCTTCTCGAGTATTAAGAAAAAAAAAAAAAAAAGGAAAAAAAAAGAGGTGAGGGGGGGGTGGGGGGAGGAGGAAATGAATTCCTTTTTTTCTTTGTTTGACAGAAGAAAAGGGAACTCCAGTGATTGACGAGGTCATCGTGGCGAGTTAAAAAAAAAAAAACAAGATAAAGAGATGACGTCAGCTGCGATGGGAACGGCAGCCGTGGCAGCGACCACCATCGTTTGCCGTCTTACCCCGATTCGGACAAAACGCCTCCCTCTCGTCGTAAGTAAATCCAAGGGGTGAAATTGCTTGTATGTATAGTACATCGATTCACGATCAGGTGCATTGTGTTCGGGCGAAGACGGACGGTATGGTGTTCGAGCCTGACTGGCGTGCCTGCCTTCTTTGTCTCTAGATAACTACGAAGTGTCCACAGCCGTCGATCTAAAGATTACCGTTTTTTTTGTTTTTTTTTTTTCGAGTGTGATTATTTGTGCCATGATGGTCTTCGTTTTCTTTATTATGTTCTTGATGAAGGACAGCTCTGATATGCTGCAAGGTGGAGATGGCTGCCTGCTATAATTGGCTAGTTGATGAGCAAGTCCACCGTCGATTGGTAGACTGTTTGCTGTTCGAGCCCTCTCTCTTGCTGGGAGTCATTCATAGTAGCGCTTTCGGCGGCTGATATCATTTGTAGTTTTTTTTTTTTTGGAAGAATTCAATCGTCATGTGCGGAATTTTGCGCAAGCGGTTTTCGGTTTTTTTTTTTTTTT